TAAAATTAATAAAAAATATTACAACATAGATAATTTTTTTTTCTTGCAATACTTTTGTGAGCTACTGTAACATGACCTGATAGTATTTTTGTGATATACTTTTTTATTAAATATTCTATGTAATATATAAAATAACATCAATATAAGATCACAATATCAAGTCAGATCAAGTTATTAATAAAATTATAAAACAAGAGATTGAAAAAGTAATCAAAACTTATATAGAAAAATTTAATCAAAAATTTGATTCCAAGCTTGAAAATGAATTAAACAATATAATAACTATTTGTAAACCTATAGTTAAAAATCCTGTTGCTACCAATAATACATAAATCGCAAGATAAACTATTACTTTTTTTTTGTCTTCTCTAATTTCATTGTCATTTGAATGACAATGGTAGCCAACTTTTATTGTCAGACCACATGCGAACTGTTATATATCTGATAAGAAACAACCTAGGATCACAAAGTCTCTTTATAACCTACCTCAGGAACTTCTCTACATTTGAAATCAAATATAACCACCACATACTATACAATTTTTGATATCAAATTTAAAAATCCAGAAGCTTTAAAACATTATACAAAGTAGTCACCTGTAAAATATTATAACCTAATTCAGAAAGCTCATTAGTTTTAAAATTAATTGCGATTGCTAAATTAATATACAATGTGTCATATACGATCTGATGTCAGAAATCGACCAGATTACTAGCCTAATATATAATAGTTCAATGATGAGGCAAACACAAATCTCTTGTCATTCAAGTGACAAGACAAATACAAATCTCTCATCATTTTGGAGTAAACATAATCTAGACTAAGTGGAAATGACATAATTATATTGTTTCTACTATTGGTCAGTAAATTGTTAATAAATTGACCAGTAACTGGGTTACTATGATCTATATTATTAATTTACATAATTTGTATTATATTATGAATAAATAAATACTAATTATAACTAATAATAAAATATACTAATAAAATAAATAACAAAATAAGAAATAAAATAAAATAATAAGAAAAATCATTAAAAGTGAAAGAAACTCATGGTAATAGCATGTTCAGTTTTTATATATTGTGTAAACTTTTGTTCAATTTAAAATTTTTATTTGTTATATATATACTGTGTAAATTTTTTTCAATTTAAAAATATTATTTATTATATAAAAATATTTACAAAATATACCTGTGACTATTTACATAACTCCGGTAAAGTTTGAAACAAGTTTGTACTCAACCTGAAGAATGTCAATATTATTATTTGTTAAAAAATGATATCCTTATTCTGATTGTGATAAATCTACTAGATCTGCTTGTGGACAATGTAATTTGTATAAGAGAGGTTATTATCAGATTCAGTATATTAATAAGTTACAAGAAAAAGCTTATGAAAATAGTGTATCAGGAATTTGATTTAGAATATTAAATACCAAAAACAATTTTCAATATCAAAAGGTTAGATTTATTTTTACTAGAATTATTTATATTAGGAACTTATTCTGGAGTACTAAATACTAAGAACAATTTTGATATCAAGAAGTTAGACTTAAAAGTAGATTTATTTTATATATAGAAACTTGATTTAAAGTATTAAAACCAAGAATAATTTTCAATATCAAGAGGTTAGATTTATTTTTTTGCTATTTTAAAAAACTTTCTAAGAAAAATTAAGTTTAAATAAAGCATGAAGTAATTAAGACAAAATATATATCAATATTATATATGGTTTAAACATAAATTTAACATCTATAAAGTTAAACTTATGATATCAAAAGATTAGATTTAGTAAAATAATATGTATTTTAGCTTGTTAACATTAGAGAAGGAATCAGAAATATTTATTATATTTATATCCCTTTATTACTTTTCTTTATTTTTTTAATAGTAAATAAAAAAGCATAAAATAAATCTAATCAAAATATGTTAAAAATGTGTTGTAAAATATAAATCACAACACATTCAAGTATGTCATAAAATGTTTTTTTGCAAGTCTAATCCAAAATTGGTTACAGATTTGAGTTTTCAACAGGGTCAACACACTAATACTATGCAAGTGGATTTTGTTTCAAAATCTCCTTTTTGGTATTGTGTATATAACTATGTATTTTATAATGAAAAATTCTTCATATATTTTTAAAAACTAATATATCTAAGGACATATTAATTTTCATTAATTGGTTTAGATTTAACTAATGTTTAATAATTGTTATTGCCAAATTAAAAAAACATAATAGTAACTTTATTATATCTTTTGTAAGTATTTTTAAATAAATATTTAACAGCTAATACTAAACTACAAATTTCAACATTAATAGATATTATATTTTGTAACCAATTTGATATTATATGATACAGTCTATATATATTATTCAAATTCAAAATAATTCAAAATTTAAAATTTGAACATTTAGTAGTATAATATTTGAAACTTGAAATTTTTACAAAAGATATTAATTATAATTTGAAATTTGAAATTTCAAAACTCAAAATTTAAATTTGAGTAGTATATATAGTTACAATTAATTTTAACTAATTGTACTATACATGTCATTAAAATTATTAAATTTAGTTAGATGCAAATAAAATTATGAAAATTTGAATTGAGTTAAATGAAAATTATAATTTGACACAATTATTTGATACAATTATGTATGCATTAAAATTTCAAGAATTAAATCAATGGCTTTTTATTTTTGAGGACATATATAAATTGTACCAATGTCTTAATTAATTGTGTCATATGTCATAATTGATTACATAACTTTTTTTTTGAATTATAACAGGTATCATTGATAATTACTATACATGTTATCTAAATTCAATTTTTCAATTTTTAATTATATCTGGCTCAATAATTGTATTATTTATTATATAAAATAAAAATTTTTGCTTAACTCAAAATCAATTTTTTCAATCTTTAATTGTGTCTAACTCAATTTAATAATTTTGACATGATTACTATTGTGATTTTTTTCTTTTATCCAAAATTTTGGTATTATAATAAATATACAATTGACTAATTTGAACATTAGTACCATTCACAATAAGTATTTTAATTCTGTATTATTTACCTTTTGCTTTTTTCTATCTTTCATTAGTGAATCTCTTTTGTTGTTACACAAATGTTACAAATGTTCAACTTCTTGTTCAGATACCATATCATTCATTGGTTTTTTTTTAATTTACTTATCAATCTGCTTAAGATAAATGAGACAATTAATTTAATAATGACAAATGTAAATCAGAAGGTCATAGCCGAGGAACATGTAAATAATTTATACAGAGTAGTCTAAATGTGACATGTTACACAATGAATGTTTTTATTATTATTTGTTTATTACACGATGATTTTATGATTATGATATATGCATTATCATTTCGGGTATGTCAACTGAACGCCACAAAAATGTTCCGGAGGATCAAAATGGTAAACGTCACAACAGTGTTTTGTTTCAATCCTAAAAGGACAATTATAATGTTATTAACGTTAAAATTCTGTAGATCTTTTATAATGTTCGGCACCCTGTATTTAAAATTTGAATTTAGAAGTTAAGATATCGATATCTCAACAACCACTGATTAGATTTTTACGATTTATATCTTATTATATTGATGGTGTAGATATTTTATTAAAAAAATATCTTCTTTTTCCATCCAATAATCCTACAATAATATTGAATGAGATATGATATTTTATAAAAATTGTACAAAAAATTTTTTACAATATTCCTGACCGAAGAAATGCATTTAATCTTGAGTAATGTTAGATCTTGTGATAACCAATCTTGTAATAGATGATTGAAAAAATAAATAATTTATTCAGTCTGCAGGCTGTAGGATCAATCCGTTAGATTATCCACTCAATTCATTCAATTCGCATAATTCGCATCATCCATTCAATTCATTCAATTCGCGGTTAATCTGTTTAATCGTATTAATAAAGTTTTGAAACTAAAAAAAAAACGAAAATAATTAATGACCGCTGTCACATAAAACTTTTAATTTAGTAATACAAATAAAAAAAAAATACCAAGTAACTTAAACATAATGAATTTACTGTAATTTACAGTTCATTATAAAATTTAAAATTAAGAAGGTTCATAATTTACTTAATTCTTAAGCAGTAGATCCAAAACTTTTAATAGATGAACCTTATTCCAAGGTTACCTATAATCGTTTTATTAATAAATTAAAAAAAGTTATATATGCATAGTTTTTATAATTCGAATGATCTGCAGATTGGACGCACAATCCCATTGTTAGACTTTTTTATTTTTATCAAATATTTCTCAGAAGAATTATTTTTATAACGAAAAAAAAAAAAAGAAAAAAAAATAGGAGGTCAATTTATGAAAAATAATTAATTTGTAATCATATATACCACCATCCTCAACTTTACAAATCTTGCACAATTGGATAGTGGAAATATGGATCAACTTGTGTTTTAGCCCACTTGCAATAACAAGCTATACTTGTGCATATAGTAAAAAAAATATATATAAATTACATAGAAATAGATAGGCTTACAGTATAACATTCTTTTTTAATGTTAAGGTTTATTCAATGATATTCAATTAAGTGTTTTGCATGATTAGGTGTATTTGAATGAAATGACATTTTGTGCCACTAATTACGGTATCGCGAAAAATTTTTTTCTCAAGTTTATCCTGTCTACTTTAATATCTGATCGTTTAACTTTTATTCTATTAAATACTATAGGAATTTCATTGATGTGTGTCTCAACCTACTTGCGTTTCAAAGTGCTATTACTAGTTTGAATCTATGTTAGAAAATGAAGTAATTATGCAAATTATTCCCATCACATCTATGGGAGCCATCTCTTTTTCATTCCTCAAGATCTTTATTAACAAATTTTATATAGCAGAAGTCTTAGAATGGTTAATCTCATCGATATAGTCTGCTGTAAGAATGAAGCTTCCAATATATGGACTAGTTGATCCAAAGGTGACAAAATTCCAAAATTGTCATCACCATCAAAAGGTTCCACCATACACTGTGGTCCTGATAAATTAAGCATAATCGCACAAATTAGTCACCTTTTAATGAGCAAATAAAATAACTCAAAAGATTTAAACAAATGAAGTGTAAAAAAAAGACATTATTGTCAAACTATATTAAGTATCGATATTCGAATGCAATCGTAGTACTACTTACCTTGCTCTTCGCCCTTTAATATCCCTAATCAAACCCGCGATCGCTCTAAGAAGATTGTATGGTGAAGAGTTTTCAAATAATTCAAGGAATGCACGAACCAACAAATAGGTTGTCGTACAAGATAATCTCATCACGTGATTAAATTAAGTTAAGCAATAACAATGTTAGATGTTTGATCATACTAATCATACTACCCGTAAAAATTTTTTTCGAAGTAAAAAAATTTCTTCGATTCCAAATTTGGTAATTTACTAGATCAAAAAAAAAAAAAGAACAAATGAGTGGTGTTCCACCTAAAAGTAAATTTGATCGTAAACAATAGTGCCTTGTACATATGTGTACTAGGCAAATCATATATAATTACTCCAATTACAAATTATTTTTTATACAAAATTATATTTGACTGTTTATTATATCGTGCAAAGTAAAAAAAAATTATTTATTGTATATCGTGTATATAATATAATTTAATTAAATTTATTATTATTATTATTATTATTATTATTATTAATTATAAATTAATGTTATTAGTTCACTAGAAACAATTGGATCAAAAAAAATATTTTTTAATATTTTAAAGAAATAATAAATTTAAATGCTTTTATAATTTTATTATTGTTAAATGTACAATAATTTAATTAAAATATATTAACAAAGATGAGATGTGGAGTAATATATTATGATTCGCCACGTACACATGTGTCAGCGTACTACTGTGTACGATCATATTCGGTAACTCGATTTTTAGGTGGCACACCACTCATCTGGTCGACCGAACTCCACACCTTTACGTACTAAAAAAAGTGTATTTGATAATAATAATAAGAATATTCATTCCATGTGATTTAATTGTAACCAATAATATTCTTTACATGTGACATTTATATTTGAAAATTTTTACGGTCCCTGTTTCTAATCATTACGATCAAGTTTATTGTCAATTGCTCTGTGGCTAAGAAATTTCGAAACCCCCGAACTATTTTGTTCACCTTTTGTCAGGTTTTGTTACCATATGAGAGTAAGCATATAATAATTAAATAATTAATAATAATAATAATTAATAATTGAGCGAGAATGAAATTATAGAATGATTTTTCTAAATTTATACTGAATCAAAAACTCGTTTACATTCCAGAATTATTTTTATTTCACAATAAGTAAGTATCAATAAAAGATGTTTACGCCCATTCCCCAGTAATATTATTTTTGAATATTTAGGGATAATGACTTCATGTCCACCTTTTTTTTTTAAAAAAAAAAAAACAATAAAAACTTGTTTGAGGAGAAAACATTCCCATACTAAAATGTTTTTTGTCATTTTTTGAAAAAAAAAACCTGAAATGATGATGAAAGTAGAAGTGCGTGACGAATAAACGTCACAACATTAACTATTTATTAAATTATTATTTATTTATTTATTTATTATTTATTTATTTATTTATTTTATTTTTAATTTAATTAATTAATTTAATAATAATAACAAATTAATTATTTAATTATTTATTTTATTCATTAATTCAATAATTATTATTATATCTCGGAATATATTTTATTATTTTTGATACAAAAACAAAAAAGAAACGAAACAAAAAAAAAAAAAAAAAAAAAAAAAAAAAAAAAAAAAAAAAAAAAAAAAAAAAAAAAAAAAAAAAAAAAAAAAAAAACGAAAATACAAACTGAATAATAATATTTAAAATAATAGCTAAATTATAACGATTATGGTTAGTTGGTAAATTTTTATTGCATTTATTTTTTATTTAAGTCAATTGATTTTTTTTTATCGTTCGTGTATTATGAATTTTTCATATATTTATTATTCAGGGGTTAAATTTTAACTTAGTAGTTAACGCAGTTTAACATAATTAGTTAATATGATTAAAATATTAATAATAAAGTTAAAAAATATGGTTAATCTAGTTTAATGTAGTTAATGTAGTTAATATGGTTAATACGGTTAAACATAAGTGATTACAAATTAATTACCTCATTGTTTGTTTGTATCTTTTGTTTTAGAATGCTCCAGATTCAAACTTTAATTTTAAATTAATTTTAATAAATTAATTTTAAAAAATTCCAAATAATTTTCTTCTCTCTTATTGTTGAAAATTGTTTAAAATTGTTAGGAAATTGTTGGGAATTGTTGTAAAAAGTTGGATTATTTGATTGCATCAATCAACTTGTGAAAGAGAATACACAAAATTGATTAATTAAGACACAATTAACTTTTCACATATTCTAGCAAATCAGAATAATATTTATTAATTGTACTATTGTGACATTTCATTATTTATTTATTTATTTATTTATTTATTTATTTATTTATTTACTTCTTTATTTATTTACTTCTTTATTTATTTATTTACTTATTTATTTATTTATTACAATTGGACACGATGTTAACCATAATTAATAAAAAAAAAATGATTAGATGATTAGAAAATTATACGAATTAATTAGTAATTTTGTTTTATTAATATAATTATTTATATTAATATAATTATTATTATTTCCAATATAAATATATATAATAAAATAATAATAATAATAAAATAATAATAAATAATAATAATAATAATAATAATAAATAGAGTTCATTTAAAAAATTAATAAAGTTTATTTTTGTATCATTTGGTTAATATCTGTGCGTAATGTGTACGTAACGTAACTTACGTTTTTGTTGTTGTATGAATATAAAAGAATAATACAAAAAGAAATATAAAAGAAAGTTTTACAATGATGAACAGAAAAAGGAAAGAATTGTGTAAGAGAGAGAGAGAGAGAGGAGAGAAATAAGTAAAGATAAGCCAAAAAAAAAAATATGGTATTTGTGAAAGTGGTGTGTTGTGTTGTGTTGTGTTTTGTGTGGAAATAAATTTATTTTTCTTGTGGAAAATTTGTATAAAAAAAAGAAAAGAAAGAAGTATGGTTTAGTAATGATTTCTATGAATACAACAACGGTAATGGATAGTAATGACCAGTAATAAATAGTAATGACCAGTAAAGTAATTGAACAAAACAAGTAATTTTATATTCTTATAAAGAATCGCCAAAATACCTTATATTTACGAATTTCATTTATATTTTTCTCACACTTTTTTTTTTTTCGCACATTTTTATTTTTCTATATGAATTTTATTTATTTATTTAATTTTAATTTTAATTTTAATTTAATTTATTATTATTTTTTTTTTTTTATTTGCATTTATTTATTTTAATATTTATTTATTTATTTAATTTTATTATAAAAAAAAAAAGACATACGATCGTTCATTCATTTAAAAGATAAAAAAGATAAATTAAAAAATGATAAATAAATAAATTCCCTGATTTATGGTTTATTATAATGTATTCTTTAATGTATTATTTAATATCGTAAATATTTTGTAATACGAATGAAATATAACTATACTGAGTTTGGTTTGAATAATTCCCAACTTGCAACATATTATTTTCTCTATAGGATTTATAGATTACCTTTTATGTTTAAAGAATGAAAATTTATAAAATAATGATATTAATAATAAATAGAAAATTGATTATATTGGACAATAATAAAATAAATAAATAAATAAATAAATAAATACAAGTTCACAATTAATCACAATCAATAATAATAATAAAAGTTAGATTCTTTGCTAACCATTTTTTGTATGTTGCTTCCGTTCAGATCTAGAAAAGAAGGGTAAATTTGTTTTTTTTTTGAAATTCTATTTACGCGGCGAAAAATACTGTATGTACGTGATTTATTATTATTAAAATTATTATATAACAACACGTGATTTTATAATATAAAGTTTCTGAGGGTGAATTTTTAAGAAAATCTCATGTTTCATGTTTCACAGGTACAAAATGGATGGATGGATTATACACAAAAGGTACAAAAAACACAAACTTCATTAAAAAAAAAAAAAACAAAATATTATTACGAAATCATTTTTTTCTTTTCGGGTAAATGAATCGTCGATTATTATGTAATTTTACATGATTCAAATAACAAGGTACATGTTGTTGTTGTTATTGATGTATTTAAAAAAAAAAAAAATTCAAGTATTTTTCAAGTGTAAATTAATTGATATGCAGATATACAAGACAGGAAGACAGGATTTGCTGATATACACCACATTTATTATTACATTCATTATTTCTTTATTTCCTTTATTATTTTTATTATTGGCATTTGTAAAAAATAATAATAATAATAATAAATAAATGTAATAACATTCAACAATTACATTTATTATTATTATTACATTTATTATTTATTATTTATTTATTGAACAATTCATAATACAATAGAATTTACCAATACTATTATAATTATTATTTATTTATATTTATTTATTGACATTATATTCATTATATTATAATAATATTAATTATTATTTTGAAATTGTTTTTTATTTGATCATGCGGGTCAGGTTTTTTTACCCCAATATTTTTTTTTAAATTGTTATTAAACAACAAAAAAATTATGTTTGTTTATGTAATCTAATCAGGTCAAGGAAATGTCAAAATCACATGTTCATAGATTTTAAATAATTCAAACTTTCGGGTTTCTGTTCTTCCCATATTTTTTTATTATTCTTTTTTTTTGTAAAACTTGGATCAAAAAAAAAAAAAGTTTAAAATAGGAAAAAAAATAAAGTTGGAACATTTTTTACATCAAAACTAGAAATAATCATAAAATGATCATATTTATCATATTTATCAAAAAACAAACAAACAATATATACACGATTTTTTTTGATGAAAAAAAAACATTGCTAGGTAAAAAATTTTTTTAAAAAATAAAATTGCGTAAAAATGAAATAAAATGTCAATGATATGTGTGTGTGTGTGTCGAATTGTTTATCTCAGGAAAAAAAAGTCGGATTTTTTTTTTTAAAAAAAAAATAAAAATTTAAAATGAATATTATGTAAAAGTTCGTAGATAATGAAGAATAAAAAAAAAATTATCAAAAAAAAAAAATAATAATAATAAAAAAACAGTAGGGATAAATTGAAAAAGAAAAAAACGATGGTTTGCGAGAAAAAATCGAAAAGAAATTGTTCAATTTCAAAAAAAAAAAAATATATATATAAATATTATACAAATGTGACAATTTTTTTTTTTTTTTTTTAATATTATATTTAACAAATAAAAATGTTGTTGAAAAAAAAAAAATAAAGAAATGTGATATTCATTTAATTAAATTAATTTAACAAATCACGAATTTTCATTGATGAAAAACTTAAAGAAGATGGATCAGCCTCATAAGACATTCTTCTTTCCGATGAAATAGAAGAATAAGAATAAGATGGTATATTAATGGGACTTGAACGTGTAATAGTTGTATCATCCCTTTGATCAATTTCCATACTTATGGTTGGAGTTGTAGTCGATTCACCACGTCGATTATTATTATTAATCGAAGTAGGAGTGGTGGAGGTGGAGGTGGAGGTGTTAGTAGTAGTAGAAGAAGGATAAGGAGATGTATTTGAATTTTGATTATTATTGTCTAATAAATTACTACCATTTAAGTGAAATACTCCATATCTACCGGAAGAAGAAGAATTATTATTATTATTAAAACTAGAAGGAATAATTGACGATGATGATGGTGATGATGGTGATATATTAGCAAAATTAGATTCGGCTGGTGAATGAGGTTTTGAATAAAATAATTTATTATTATTATTATTATTGTTGTTGTTGTTGTTGTTGTTGTTAATTAAAGTTGGTGGTGTGGCAGTAGGTGGAGGAGTCATCAATGATGATGATGATGATGGAGGAGATGATAAATTATTATTATTATTATTATTATGATTATGATTATGATTATTGTTATTTTTATGATGATAATTATGTGAATGTGAATGATGATGATGATGATGATGATGATGATTATTATTATAATTATTGTTATTGGAATTTTCTCCGTCTTCATCTATATCAATTAATCTTCCTGCCATATTATCAGAAGGTGATGTTACATCACTTCCACCACTATCATAATCACCACCATTAACATTACCATTGCCATTAACATTAATACCACCATTATTAACATTACTTATTCCATTATTATTATTATTATTATTATTATTATTATTATTACTTATTCCATTACTTATACCATTATTATTACTTAATCCTACTACTCCACCACCATTAATTCCTGGATGTACTAATCCAACTTCACCCGGTCTTCGTTTTTGTACTCCACCTCGAGCAAATACTCCATCATGATATGCTGACATATATTCCGGATCTATTGTCCAATATCCACCTTTACCTTTACTAGCTGTTGAGGATGATGTGGAATGTCCTAATTCCGTATCAGATCTTGGAACTTTCTTGAAACATTTATTTAATGAAAGATTATGTCGAATAGTATTCTAAAATAAAAATGAGAAATTGATGATTATTATTATTATTATTATTAGATAATAAATTAATTAATTAAAATTACGAATTTACTATTTATTTATTATTATTAAAAAAAAAAAAATTTGATCAAAAAAATAAAAAATTTTTTTAAACTAACCTGCCAACCAGTATCATCAGCTTTATATAATTGTGGATAACGTTCCATTATCCATTGATAAACTTCTCGTAATGTTAATCTTCGATCTTGTGAATCTAAGATAGCTTGAGCTATTAACGATGAATAAGAAAATGGTGGTCTTCTACGTCTTCTAGGTGGTCGATTATTTAATTCTGGAGATACCGTAACAAATGGTTCTGATATAACCGTTTGTGCACTATGACTTCTTTGATAAGGTCGCATCGGTGATCCATTATGTGATTGAATTAAAGGTGATCGTTGAGAATTTTGCGAAGCAGCAGATGTTGATGATGATGATGATGATGATGATGATGAATTGGAATTGGATGATGATGAATTCGTAGAAGAAGAAGGTGGTGGTGGTGATAAATTATGTGATAAGTTATGTGATAAATTATTATATAATGGTGAAGTTTGTTGTGAATAAAGTGGACTATGCGAAGATGATGATGAATGTTGTGATGTTTGGGATAATTGTCTCCTTGATAATTGAGTTGAAGAATTTGTTGTTGATGGTGAATGATATTGTGAATAAGTAGGATAAGTTTGTGAAGAGTAATATGGAGAAGAAGAAGTAGTAGTAGTAGGTGGTGGTGGAGGAGGAGATCTCTGTTGAGATTGATAATAATTTTGTGGTGTAGTAGGTTGTTGAGGTGGTGGAGGTGGAAGTGGTGAATGTAAATATGATGATGAAAAAGAAGAACTTGATGAAGACGAATATGGAGTTGAAGGCATTGACTGTGTATTCAAGGAAGGTAAACTACCCCCACTACTATTACTATTAGAATAACGTGAATGTTGTTCAGAATTTGATAAACTTCTATTAAGATAAGAACTACCTCCTGGTGGTTGTTGACTTAAAGATAAGATTGGGGGTAATAAGTTTTCGCAAGAGAGTGTCCTGATGGGAGGCAAAGTTGGGAGCGTAGCCATTTCAGGAGAAGCTGGCGAAGTTGGAGAAGTACGTGGCGATAATTGGTAAGTACTTTTTTGTTGTTGTTGTTTGTTTTGTGAACGCGAAGAAAATATAGAAAGTTGAGGAGAAGTTATTGTAGAAGTAGTAGAAGAAGAAGAAGAAGAAGAAGAAGAAGTAGTTAAAGGTAAAGTAGTAGAGCTACCAGTAATAATAGATTGTTTAGTAGCGTTACCACAAGTAGGGTATCGCGACATGTAGCTTTTATAGTGGAAAAAATATTAAAACCTTTTCATGAAAAAAAAAAAGAGGATCTTTTCAACAGTCTTTTATATCAATTTTAAATTTTAAATTTTAAAAAAAAGACCGAGAATTAAAAGAGAAAAATAAAAAAATTTTAAATAATTGATTTCGTTTTTAGGTCAGGGATGGATGACATACATAAATAAATAAACTTCGTTAAAAGTAAAAAAAAATAAAGAGAACTTGAATACACAAAAATACTTTTTGACCCCAACCAAAAAAAAAAAAGATTTTTTCACAAAAAATAAAAAAAAAAAAACAAAAAAAAAGAGATAACATGAATATTTAAATAATTATTTTAAAAAGCGAGAAAGAATGCATCCAAACCCAACTTTTTTTTTCAAACAGAAATTTCTCAAATGTGAAATATCTGTGTTTGTTATTTGTTTATTTATCTAATACAGGTTTATACAGCGTTATTACACACATCATACCTGTTAAGATAAGAATTTTTTTAAAAAAAAAAAAAAAATTTTTACAATACTTCATTTACGACTCCTGTTTATTATTATATTAAAAAAAGCCCGAATACTGTTCAAATATTAATCTATTATTTAATACGTCACGGTGTTACTATAAAATATAAAGTAGAAAATATATTTTTTATTTATTTTTATATTATTACTTTTTATATATATATATATTATATATATATATATATATTATCATTATTTTATATTATTTTTTTATTTATTTATCTTTTTTTTATGTTTCATTTACGCTTATTTTGTATTTAAGCAGTAAATTACGAAATGAATAATAATTCAATACAAGTAGACAAATAAATAAATAAATAAACATTTACTTTTGTACATCCTTTTTTCCTTTTTATTTTATTTTATATCACCAAATAAATAAATCAAATAAATCATGTACATCAAATATATCAAATATATCATGTATATCAAATATATCAAATATGTATATCAAAGAAGTATATTAAGAAGTATAATATATCACACAAGGGAGACAGGGAGACGAAACCGTCACTCATAGCGTTATTGTATCAATGTATAAATAGGTTTAAATAGTTTAAATAACATTTATTATATTAATTTATATTATATATATTGATAGCATGTATTTAAAATAAGGTCTAGCGTGTAAATTACTATGTATATGCTATAAATACTATAACTAAAGTCCGAAAACGTACAATTCTAGGGATGAGAAAGATTTAAAGATTTATTATTTATTTATTTATATAGAAATTCATTTATAAAATATATACTTATATATATTTATTTTATTTTAATTAAGTAATTAATTTAATTAATTAAAAACGAGAGGGTGTATTATTATTATTATTATTTTTACGAATTACTGGTTAAATAATTAATAATAATAATAATAATAAAAGGTTTTTGCCAAGAATTTGGTGCGTATCATGCAACTTATTCGTTAATGGACCTGTTTATTTTAAATTTTTTTAATTTGTTTGTTTCATTTTTAATAAAATATTTAAAAAAAACATTTGTTAGGAAATGAATAAACATTTAATTTAATATAAAACAATAATTCTCTTTTAATTATTAATTTTATTGTTTGAAAAACAATTAATTCTAATTAATCAAATATCAATAATATCAATATCTATCATCTCAATATAATATCAATCTCAATATCAAAATATCAAAATATCAAAATATAATAAATATAATACATAGAATTACTAAATATATAATTATTTAAGTATTATTATATAATCATAAATATATAAATATAAATAATTATAATTATAAATAAATACTAACAAGTTATAAATAAATAAATAAATAGAAAATTAAATTTCAATCATCATAAAGATAAAACAATATAAAACAATACAAATATGTAAAAATAGTTAAAGATTTCTATAATAATAATTATTTATTATTATAAAGGCATTTTGAACACAAGTAAGGTATGGTAATACAAAAATTTCAGGGGTTTATTGAATTACTGTTTATTTTTTATGTTTTAACTATTTTCTCTCTTCCCTCCTTTTCAAATTTTCACCATACACAATAACTTTTTTCTTTCAAAGGGATATATATAGAATAATTGCTTTGTGATCATTATGTTAATCTTATTCTTGTTTTTTTTTTCTTTTTTATTTATTTGTTTTTGAATTTTATCTGGTTTACATTTAATTTTTTTTTTGAATTGAATTGAATGGGAATGATAAATGATTTAGATAAATAAATAAAAATAAAATAAAAATAAAAATAAAAATAAATAAAAATAAAATAAATCAAAAAATATTTTAGTTTCTAAAGTTTATTCATAATAAATTGATTAAAAATCAAAAAAAAAGTCCGATTTCAATCTCAATCAAATTCGCCAGGTTCAGACATCTCCGATTGTGCTTAACAATTTTATATAACAAATAATTTTTTTTTTTTTTATATAATGTTATATAAAGTATGATAACAATATTTGTATTGTTGTTGTTTTACTTTTTATGATAATTTATTTGTCATACTTGAAATTTTTTTTTTTTTAATTCTTTTTGCCGCCTTAATTTTTACCTGATTTACAGCATTTTTTTGCTTGTTTACTCTATTTTCGTAAAAGTTGCGTAATGATGCGTATTTATTATCAGTTATTTATTCTTTTTCTTTTCCTTTTGATCTCATAAATCATTCACAATTCTCTTTTTCCTATTTTTTTTTTTTTTCATTGTGTTTCCTTTCACAAATTCATTTACAAAATTCGAAAATTATTAAAAATTATTTAAAAACAATAAAATTCATTTCGTAATATATTATAATAATAATATTTACTCTTTGTATCAATTTTATTTATTTTGTCTTTTTCGGGTAAAACTCTAATTAAATGTATATCTATAGATATACAAATGAATTTAGGTCAAACATAATTAAAATAAAATTTTTAATCAAAATAGATATATTCGGAATTAACCTTTTCGTTTTTTGGTTATAGTTTAAGTTTGGGGAAGTTTTGTAAATATTTCGTAAAAAAAATTTTTTTTTTTTTTTTTGATAAATTACAAAATCGATAGTAAATAATAATAATAATAATCATCTTATCGTATAAATTTTTTTTTTTTGTAATCAGTATACAATCAATAAATAAGTTCATTTAATAACATAATCACATAATCATAATAATCAATAAATAGTAATTAATAAAACTAATAAAACTTGAATTTCTTGGGTATGTTATCATAACAAACATTCAATCAAATAACAAACACCATTCGTTCCATCACATTCTTGGTACATATTCATTATTAATAATAATCATAATAATAATATAAATAAATAAATAAAATAAACAATAATAATATTATTATTATTATAAAAATATTAATATTAAAAATTCTTTGATAATTATTATTATTATTATTACTTTTATTTTTATGTTGTAATAATGTACAGTGATAATAATTATTCTCCTATCGTATGTATGCGAATACAAATAATACAAATAAATCGAAACACAGTAACAAACAAATTATCAATAGAAAATAATAATAAAATAATAATAAATTTAATTATTAATTCATAACAATAATTAATTAATTACAAATATATATGATTTATTTATTTGATTGATTTGATTAATTAAAAATTGATAATGATTATGATGATGATTATTATGACGATTATCACATTTTATTATTATATTTGTTTATTATTATTATTATTATTATTATTATTATTATTATTATTATTATTTTATTTTTATTATATATTTATTAATCCGCTTCTAACCTTTTTTTCAATGAACCCTTTTTTGGTATATTTTTCAAATTGGTTGTTATACCTTTTTATTATTATTTTTAATTTTTAAACAAAGTATTAATTAATTATTTTTTATTTACTACATCTTTGAATATATCTAATATATATAATAATATATTACTTCTTTACTCTCTTACAAGTATTACTTTGGAAGTTATTACGTGCTTTACTACGAGTGTTATTACTTGCTACAATTGCTACAAGTCATTACTTATAATTTATAACTTGCAGGTGAGGAGAATTTATTGTTATGCAATTATGGAAATTGACATTATATCATTCCATTTTCGGATATTTGCTTGCTTTCCTTTTTAGACTTTTTTTTAATCCTTTTTTTAAACCCCTTTAACTCGTTTTTTTTATTATTATTATTATTTTTAAATTCTTTTTAACCGTTTTGAGTAATAAAAAAGTATATTAAAATATATTCGTACGACATGCACCAAAATAAATAATAACTACTACAAATATTTGTAACATTTTTCCACAAAGAATCACAAGCATTCTATATTAATGCCAATTTGGGATTCTTTTAAATAATAAAATAAATTTTTCCATGGCGGGAAAATTCCATAAAGAAATGAAAATTTCTATTTTTTTTTATTATTTTGCAACTTTTTTTTTTTTAAAACAAAAAAAACCATCTGATCAAAGTCAAATTAAAAAAAGGGAAATTATTAAATACTACCATGAATTATCAATGAATGAAAAAAATAAAAAAAATAATAATAATAATAACTTTACACGCTGTTTCCCGTTTTTGAATATGAAACCGTCGCTTTTTTTTTTTTATCTTTTACCAATTAGGGAATTGTCTTATTTGATGATTTTAGAAAAAAAATAAAATAAAATAAAGAAAAGAAGAAAGAATGATGGAGAATATATAATGATTGGTTTTTACTATTATTATTATTATTATTATTACTACCACATTATAATTATTACCACCACATTATTAAATAATGTAATAGTTATAATGTAATAATAATAATAATATTATTATTATTATTACCACATTATTATTATTATTACCTACATTATAATTACTATTACATTATTTATTATCACATTCATTCATTATTATTATATTACAGTTATTTTTAACGTTGTCTTTCTTATCTTATTGTTATCATAAATGAAATGTATGATTACATTTACGGATTTCTTTATTTTTATTTATGTTTTAATTCGCGTAAATGCGTTTATGTTATTATAGTCGATCCATTGCACGTAACTGTAAACAGAAAATAATTTAAAATTAATTAATTATCATTATAAAAATCAAAGAACTCTTTTTAGTATTAGATCGATAAATTGGTGTAATCAAAGAATGATAGATAAAGAATGATATATAAAGAATGATATAAAGAATGATATACAAAGAAGATCAAAAGGTGATAATAATAATAATAAAAATAATAATGATAACACCTTTATATCTCATTCTTTATCTTCTTTTAAAAGTTATTTCTATTATTTATGTTATTTATATTATTTGTATTTCTATTATTTCTATTATTTTCTATTATTTTTACATCATACATCACATCAATTACATTATTAATATAATTTATATTATTATTTTTTTTTATGTACTGTAGGGAAGCAATAAAAACCTCTCACGCGTTTTGAATTTTCTCCGGAATGAATATTATCATCGGTTATTATCCTTAATTATAAATTTGTTATTATTATTATTATTATTTCTATTGGTTTAAAACTTAAAAATAAATGGATTCTTTAATCGATAATTGGACTTAAATAAAATATATAACCTACATAAGAATAAAATAAATAATTAATGTACGTTTTGATGCTTTCTCATATATCTCGCATACTTGATGTATGATTTTTGATTTTAAATATTTGATTTGCTTGGGAAATTCTTTTTATTTTCTAGACCAGGATTTGTTTGTTCTGTAAAAAATAATCACAATTCTTACATAATTCAAAATATAATCAAAACATAAATAAATAAATAAAAAAAAAAAAAAAAAAAAAAAAAAAAAAAAACCAAAGGATTATTATTAATTTCACGACAGTATTTATTATTTGTTTATTATTATTTATTTATTTATTTATTTATTTATTATTTACTATTTACTATTTATTATTTATTATTTATTATTTATTATAAAAATAAGTTACAAGGTTTATTATTTGACTAAATTGTTAATAATGAAAATCAAAAAAAGCTTTTTTTAATTTCTTTCTTTCTTGCTTTCTTCATACTCGTACATAACACCATACACACATACATGTTTATTATTATTTATTATATATTAAGTTACAAAGGTCATTATTTTACTAAAATTGTTAATAATGAAAGAAAAAAAAACAAAACTAAAAAAAAAGTTTTTTCTTCTTTCTCCTCTTTCATTTTATTTAATTTCTTTCTTTACTTTCTTCATACATACATACATACCGTACACACATAAATTTTATTTGTTTCATTTATGCAAGTTATTTGTGGGATTTCTTAGAATTGATTAATTCCTCTTTTTAACTTTTTAAATCAAAATCTATTTTATTTAATTTTGTTTTATTTTATTGTTATTTTACTTAATCTTAATTTTTATTATTATTTTTACTTTATTTTATTTTTACTTAATCTTATTTTTATTTTTTACTTTATTTTATTTTATTTTATTTTTATTTTTATTTTATTTTTCATTAAAATGAACAACAAAACAACGCGAATGATATGATAAGAATGATAGGAAGAATGATAAGAGGGTCATTATTATTATTATTATTATTTACATTATTATTATTATTATTATTTAGTAAAGCGGTACTACACACAAGATTAGTTAGAATATATATATTTGAATAATAATAATAAACGTTTAGTAGATAAATAAAAATGTTTTAGAGGATAGACAAGCGGTAATGGGTTATTGTACTAGTACAACTAAACCATAACTTTAAATCATAAAATTAAGTCGTACTGTAATAAGCTCATCTTTTTTTATTTAATAAAATTAAAGATAACGGTACACCACTTCTCTCTTTTTTTTTTTTTTTCCTTTTTTTCCTTTCTTTTTTCTTCTATTCCTTCTTTTTTTGGGTGATTAATACCTTTTCGGTAGGTTCTTTTTATTAAAAAAAAAAAAAAGAATAGGATGATTTTAACTTATTGAAACACGTAAATCACGCACACGTGCCGGGGTTGTAATTTTCGTCACATGTTTTGATTATAACGAATGCCAATATGGAACAGATTTAAATATATTTAAAACGTTTTTTTTTTCCTAAAAAAAATCATATTGTACGTTTTTGATCTGATATTCATAAATAAAAATAAAATGTGTAATTATTCATTCTTTATTTATTAATCTGCCTATAAAAAGAAAAAAAATAAAATAAAATAAATTCATTCCGTGTAGCAGCGGGATGTTTCGATCATCCGACCTTGGGGTTATGAGCCCCACGCGCTTCCTCTGCGCTACGCTGCTTTTGATTTGATTATTTTTAAATAATTTATTTTTTTTTAATTTTATCGTTTTAGTAAATAGTTCAAAATTGGAAATTTTCTTATATGTGAAATCATGTGATAAATATAAAAAAATATGACGAAGTAATCTATAATGTAAACAAAAATTTATTTAAAAATTTCATAATAATTTTTTTTTTTTATAAAAATTTCTAAATTATAGAACATTATAGGAAATTATAAGACTATATAAGACATTATTGAAGAAAAAATTGTAGGAAATAAAATTGTATAAGAAATAACTTTTCAAATTTTTATAATAAAGGTGACTTTTTATATTAAATTTTTTTATTACAAGATTGTCTTAATTCTTTGATTTAAGTATTAAAATATTAAAAGATTAAAGGAATGGAGATACATAATAATTTTAAAATATATATTATATATTGTCCTTCCTTTAAATGGAAAAATAAAAAAAAATCATCATATATTATTAGATGAATAGATGAATTAATTGAATTAATGAATTTATGAATTTTATGAATTTATGAATTTATGGATTTGTAAAAAAATAAAAGGTCAACATCTAGCGTTCCACCTTATAATTTTCCAAAAGAAACCTTTAGTTTAATAATAATTATAAAAAAAATAATAAAAAAAATACCTACACAGATTTAAGATTACTTAAAGTTTCGGCCAAATGTTTAGATAAACCAACGCAATTAGCCAACATATCTGTTAATTCTTGTTCATAAGCTTCAAAGTAATGAAGATTTTTTCGAGAAATTGATAAATTCCGAAGTATTAAGGATGCTGTTAGGGGAACTCCAATTGCATCCCCATTTATATCGGAAGTAACGTATGTCCTATGAGTAATTATTCCATTATTCTTTCCATATTTACTCAAAGCCTTAATCTTGGGTGATTTTTTACGTTTTTTGCTATTATCCCCTTCATCCGGTGTAACAGGGAAATGAGTTTTAATATGAGCAATAACGGATAATCGATTATCGGAACCAAAAGGAAATCGATGACATCCCATCCAATGACATCCGTATTGAAAATCGCAAACATTATTAACGTGATCATTGATGACATGACTATATAAATCATTCTCGGAAGTAAATTGACTGACTCGACATCCTGCCCAGCGACATTTATACACGATATCTAAAATATCAAAATAAAATAAAAATTATTAAAAAAATTATTATTATTATTATTATTATTATTATTATTATTAATTAATTAATTATAATACAATATTCCAAAAAAATTTGTTTAATGATCGAAAAAAAAATTATTTTTTTTTTTTTGATTTTTACTTTTTGAAGCTATTTCTTCTGGTAGTGGTTTACGTTTTATCCCTTGAATCATATATGTAAATTTTTATTAAGGATTAATTATTAAATTAATTAATTAAAAAAATATAATTAAAAAGATATATATCTTAAAATTAAATATATATATTAAAAAAAAAAGGATATTTAGACATTCCATCCGCGGTATCAATCGCAACTGCTCTAGAAAGTGGAAATGCCTGGCTAACGTGTTTGATGACTTCTGCTGCTGGCATCATTGGAGATTGCGAATGCATGAATTGCTCTCGGTAAGCATACCAAATATCTGTTTGTAATACTCCATCAAAAGGTGATTCAATATAATATAATTTTAACCTAGTAATAAATTTAGATGTTTTAGATATTTTAGATATTTTATGTTTAAATAAAATATTGTTTCAAAAAAAAAAATATTTACCATTCTAGAGTTCTATAGGGTTCTGGATAAGTTTCAAAGTCTCCACGAATAAAATATGGATTTTTTTCACCTGACGTTCTCTGATCATTTAAAAAGTCCTCATCATTTGCTCCGTGACGCAAAAAATTTATTAAAAGTCGAACAAAATTTCCTGGTGCAGATTGAACGATTGTATAAGCAGAACTTTCATATGTAGTAAATTGATAAAACCAATCTAGTACCGCAAGTATTAACTCATCATCATCATCGATAAGTAATAATTGTACTAAACGTTGTACAGTTGCGGGATCTATCTCTCGCATGTGATCTGCATTATATTCGTTGGAAGCTAAATTTGTCATGGAATTAACTGCCAATAAAACAATTAAACTATCTTTAGAATAAAGTAATTTAGGTAGGGTTGTGATAAGTTCATCTTGACTATTCTTTAATGTTATATTTCGTGATATATTTGCCACTGCCTCTAGACAATAATGTTTAAGTTCACATAATCGTTCAATCTCCGGTAACAAGAGAGCTTCAATTAAATATTTTCGTAATGTTTTATGTCCTGCCATAAATTTGGCGTTATAATCATTAAGTGATACGTTTCGAAACACTAAAAATATCTGTAGAATTCGTTTCAATTGATCCCCTTTTGCTGGTGAACTTAGATATTCATTAACCATCAATTCAAGATGATCACTCTCCTTTGAATTGTCGATGGCTAAAATGCTACCGGATTCAATTCCTGTAAGTTTTCGTACATCCTTATACAAAGGGGACACAAAAGAAAGAACGACTTCAACCAATCCGGGAATTTTATCCAAATGAAAATTGACTGTTTCATCTGAAGATAGTTGAACCAATATTTCAAACGCCCATTCAATCTCATTTTCTAATTGAGATTTTAATGCGAGTAATATACGATTATGATGTCCTCCTCCAAGAAGAAATCCTACAATATAAATTAAAAAGTATATATATATATTTTAATAATGAATTTAATGATATATATACATTTTTTTTTATTCATGACATAGATTATTCATTATTATTTTTTGATGGTGGTTTAATCAATAATTCTGATTTAATTATGTTTTTACTCGAATTCTTTAAAATCGATGCCTTGGAATAAGTAAATTATAATACCATGTTCTTCTTCTTCCTCATCATCATCGTCTTCATCCTCCAGGTCTTGCATTTCCAGTGGTAAAACCCCCTGATCGATTGCTTGCGTCATACTTGGTGGATCATAATTACTATATGATGGAACTGGCGTACTTGCATTGTATGTTTGTCCAGGAGTCCCGGGTTCTGAATAAGATGCTAATAAATAAACATTTACATAAATATTAATAAAAAAAATTCTCAAGATTGATTTTCTTTTTTTTTTTTTGATTAATTAAATATTAACCTTGTATGTTATCTGTCGGTATAGGTCTTCGAGGTGGTGTTGACATATCAGTTAAATATTGTGAAGCAGGTGATTGGTTCGGGTGAGTCACTTGAGGAGTAGGTGTTGTTTGATTTCTTGACGGAAGACCACCATATGGTACTCTCTTACCCCAATGTTTTTCCATTTCATATGCTTCCAAAAATTTAATGTATACATTTTTCATCACATATGCACTATTGGTGCAAGTTGCGGGAAAATTAAACGGCTCACAAATCTTTTTCCAGGATTTCTCTAAACAAATTTTTTCACAGCCACCATTTTCGATTACCATTTTATATATTCTATACAGATCTAATTTCTTGGAACCAAGAACCGGCTCTTTTTGTAAAGGAGTACTGTATAACGAAAATATCGTTAATGTTTCAATTATATAAAGCAATGAGATATTAACAGCGATGTTTATGAATTTTTACCCATGGTTTTTATGAAACTCTTCAAGATCTTTCATAAAATCATAATATTCCTGGGTTCTTTCGATGCTATCTTCTACAGGTTTTATAGGACGAGGTGTCCCTGGAAGTCTATCTTTTTGAAGGTTGACGAAATTCTCGTTTGTTCTGGTGATTCTGGCACGTTTACTCATTTTAAATGTATAAAGGTTTATTAAATTTATTGGAAGTAAATATGAATAAGTCGCGTCAAAAGCGCGTCAGTTGTCAAAGACAATTCAAAAGTTTTTTTAGAGCAACAATTGTAGTTATATTCTATATGCGAATTAGTGTAACTTTGTTTTTTTGTGACCAATTTTTTTTTCCAAAAATCCTGTACGATCAGGTGAACCGTTTTGTACGAATGTAATTTTTTTAGTGCCAATTGGCAAAAAAACAAACAATATCCTCACGAACATGCCTACGCCGCTCTCAAGGCTTTCTATTCTAACACCGAGATCAAAGATTGGACGTACAATAATAGAACATCATCGGTTGAAGTTAAAGCAAAAAGATAGGAGAAAAATTCTAGACCGTATAAAAAAAGACCTTGAAGAAGTAGAAGGTTCTGATTCACTTGGCATAATGAAAAAAAATAAAGCTTGAGAAATCCTTGTTTGAATAAGAGTCTAATCTAACAGTACCAAACTGCTCATTTTGGTTTATATGAGCTGAATGAGTTAAGAACTTAGTCCAACAGTTATGAACTCGTTTAACACTTTGTGCAAGCTGGGACTGCTCGTGTTAAAAAATTATCAAGTAGATTATAACAAAACTAGAGATAGTTTCATTGAGAAGATTAGAATTAACCACAATGCAGATGTCTCAGATTCCGAAATCATAGCATTCCGAGAGTATTTTTAAATTTCATTTGCGTTATTTGGATTATCTTCAAAAAATCTACAGTTGTTTGAAACAGCATAAACGAGGTTTTGCAACTTCATCTAAAGATCTCACAAATAACTTTAAGCAATTGTTAACTGCTTAGGTCGATCCCACAGTGGATGAAAAACCATAAAAAGTTAAGATTATTAAGATGGAATAATAAATTCTTTATTATAAATTGAATTGAATAAATTTAGAGGGTTTAGAGACCAACGTTTATTATTTTTATTATGTATTACTAATAAATAATAAAGCAGACCCATTATCATAGTACGAGTGTATTAAATCCCTAAGGTACAGGATTTCAATTAAATTGACTCATCTTTAATTAGTAAATACTTGAACTAAATAACATTTATTCACATTTTGCTTTCAGTTCACATGAGATCATGAATTCGGTTCATAATAATTCTTTTTTTATATAATCAAAATAACAAATGTGCATTATATTAGCACTATTATTTTTCATTTTATCTTCTAATAAAATGAATAAAGAAATTTGGGCACGAAAAATATTTGCTCTTTTTAATAGTATTTTTAATGATAAAGGAAAAGAAGTTGAGTTGGGAAGAGATTGAATATGTAATAGTTAAGATAATTCCGCAGAACTTACTTCTCACAGATTCTTCACCCTAAGACGTTGCAATTCATATATTTGACAACTTCATATTTTTTGTTAAAGTCGAAACTCTTTAGTCTTACCGTTTCTTTCTCATTATCAATATCTTGATGATGGTTTCCAAAAAATATATCACTTTCATCACGTTTTTCATTTTGTAACCTGAAGAAAATGCTTTTTTTTTTGCTTTGTAAAATTTTCACATTAGACCTGCAGGAACCCAATTTTTGTGTCATTGGAATGTTTCAGGTTCTTGTGGTTTAAATCTTGGAAATGAAATATATAAAATACACTTTTTCGATATTCTACTGGGAAGTATGCTAACGATAATACACTATATATCATATACAACATTGAACAAGGAACTATCCTTCAGACAAGTAGTCCCAGCTTGCACTATGTGTCAAGCGAGCAGGTCATCACTGGAGACATTTTCGATTTGATTTTTGTACCTAGTAACTTTAGATGTTTCTTTTACAGACGCTGTTAGAATGTCAAAAGAATCCTTTTTTGCACTTAATTGCAAATACAATGACAAAAATGCATATGTGGAAGTTTCTCAATGCCTATATTTGCCGGAGACAGCAAGGCCGTTGCAGCGGATGGATAGTTATTGCCTTTATTATCCCTAGACCAATTTTTAACTTGTATTAGTATGTATTAAATGTGATCTTCGCTACACTTTTCAGAAAGAGTGCCTATATATATATAGGTATGATGATATCTGCTCCCCGTTGATTTCGTTTACATAAAACGAATCAGAGCATCCCCAAGAATTTTCCGATTCGGCGTATATGTAATATTGATAATGTGTGTAAACTTAATGTAGGCATCGCTAAAACTTGTTCCCATAAACTTTATTTGTATTTTAAGATGATTTTCAATAAACATTGTCCATGAATAATGATTTAAAAATTCATTTATAGTCACAAAACGAGAATATTTATTACCAACACTTGTGCTAAGTGATAGATTCTGAATTCAATCATCCCAGGCTTTAAGAATCAATATTCTGGCAGTAAGCTCTCCACGATAGCCAGCCTCTACTATTCTTTTCCTAAGTGCTGAAGAGAGTTGATTAGTAAGTTCTGAGAGGTCAACATTTGGATCATTTATTATTTGGGCAGACACCTCAGCCAACACAGGTTCAGTAGGCTTTGATTTAATAATGCATTCACGATCCTTTGAAATATTAGGACAAAGTAGAACTTGGTAGGGATTTAAAGGATAAATGGATTTAAAGAATAAAAAAGGTGAATTCCGGCTAAGTCACGTGACAGTTTGAGTAAATAATTAAAGATCAATAGTTTATTTTAAGACTCAAGACTATACAATATAGACTTTATTTATAATTTATAAACGGATGCAAGGAAAGAAATAAACATGTATATAATTTATTTATAGACAAAATAAAGATTTTATTAAAGAAAAATAAAGAAAGTACAAGAAGAAATAAAGAAAGTATAGAAATCTATCTTATTTTCACTCAAAAATCATCTAAAGGATTAATTAAAGTTCATAAAGACAATTTGATTGATGACTGTCAGTTGTTCTGATCATTTATTATTTTTTTTATAAGGAAAAAAAACTAAAACTACTTTTATAGTTATTCCAATGCTATTCTAAAAATATAAATTAATCTATTAATTGATTACATAATGAAAGAAGAAAAAAGAAAGAAAAAGAAAGAAAATATCAAAATAAACTTAATTCTGATCTTGCTTAGTTTCTTGGCCACTGTGGAGGTGGTGGCAGTTCAAAACATTTGTATTTTCATCTTGATAAGTGGTCTTTCGTTATGAAAAGTGGTTACCATTTTAGTAAAATGATGTTTTCTGTAGTAATCTGTAATAGATCACAGCATCTGCAGTTTGCAATATATCAAAAGTCACGTGGCATGTGACAGGCACAGCTGAAAGAAATTATAAATATAGGCAGGGAAAGAGAATAAAGAATCAAGATTTTTAGGATGAATTCGGAACAAAGGGGATAGTAGAAAAGCGAAAATGAAATGGGTAATACAAGGTAAGTAAATAAGCGAAGGTAAGTAATAATAAGTATTGCTAAGTAATCTTAGGAAAAGAGAAAAATGAGAAGAAGAAGGGGTGACAACAAATAAAAGAGAGAATCTATAGATAAAAATTAAAAGTAATGAGGAATAAAAGTGAAAACATGATAACAATAATGAAAAAGACAAAAAAAAAATAGTAACAATACTCACTTTATCTATTGGGAGCCTGATATATTAAAATTTATTGAAAATCAGGTACCTGTCACATATCTATTGAATATCTGATAGGTATATAATAGGTACTGATTTTTCACAATTTGACTAGTGTAATTAATAATAAATGTTAAGTAATACTAATTGATATTATTTGTTTTACACGTGATTAAACTAATATATTTAAATATCAATAATAATTTAAATAATTGTTTATCCTCTACATCAGGGCGTAAATTTTCGTAACACAAACGGGACCCACGGAAATTTACACCCAAAAATTCAATTTTTTTGACTTTGGTCGCATTTTACGAGACAGGAATCGATTTTCTACTAAGGTGTTTCTATAACAGATCGAAAGCCCTGGTTCTTGGCTATAAGAAGATATGTAAATTATTCCTGTAGCATCGATATCCGCGGAGATATTCACGTTTAAATTTTGAACGTCCGTGAAAAATTC